GATGTAGTGCGTCTATGCGCATCCGTCGTCGTGTCCGTGCCTAACTTTGTTTGCCTGTATGATGATCTCCAGGTCTACCTCGAGCCGTTGAACGCACGTGAGCATGGCATAGTGACGTGGGAGGAGATCAACACCATGTTCTCCAACATTGAGGACATTTGGACGCTCAGCAAGGCCTTCCTGGAAAAGCTGGAGCAGCGCGCGCGCAGCTGGCAGGACAAGGAAACTGACGAGGGTCACTCGGATCCCATCATTTCTGATATCCTCATCGAAACGGTGCGACTCCATTCGATCCCTCGTGGTTGTGTTGTACGGATCAGGACGAGCGTCGAACTAACATCTCGCGGCCCGCGCTGATGCACTAGTTCCCCATGATGCGCATCTACTACCCCTATTGCTACAACCGAGACCAGGCCTCCGCTCTACGCCGCCAACTCGTGCGCACCAATCCTCTGTGGCAGAGCTTCGTTCGGGTATGCTGCGTGTTGCGTGTTGCGTGCTGTAGGTCTTCATTCCTGTATGCGCATTCGGTTCACCATAAGTCCTTCCGCAGCTGTGTCAAAATCGGCCCGAGTGCAACAACCTGGACTTGGCGGCGTTTTTGATCATGCCCGTGCAACGAATCCCTCGCTATCAGCTACTGCTCAAGGTACCTTGACACGGGAGGAGTCACCACTTTGCTACGGCTCACCCACGCCATCTCAAAACGGCGTTTGTTGCGTGTCCAGGAGCTCATCAAATACACATCCGAGGGGCACGTTGACAAGGAGGGCGTAACTGTGGCGCTTTCCATCATTGCGTCCATCGCCAAGGAAATTGACAGGTATACCTGCGCGGTGCCACAGCCCTCCCTGAGCACTACGACTAGTGGAGCCTTTGGCGGCGGCAGTGGCAACGACGGCGCATAGGTCTAACGCGTGGTGGTCAATCTCGTGTACAGGAAGGGTCCTGCGGCATCAGCAATCGTTCCCTCACTGTCTTCCTCCTTGGGCGAGAAGAGGAGAGACTCGAGCGGCAGTTTACACCTGACGCCCGCCTTCAAGGGGGAAACCGCCGAACCGGACGAACATCTCGTCGGCCAGCACTATCACTGCATGGACGTTGGCAGGTACGATGCCTTTGTGGACGTCACGCGGTCCTGGATCAAGAGCGACGCCATACGGACTGTGTGCGGGTGGAAGGAGCAGCTGTCTTGGCTCTACCTCTTCGACGACATGGTGCTTGCACACAACGCGCCCACCTTCTCGAACAACCTGTGGACCAACAACCCCACATCCACGACGCGCTTCCGCAAGACCCGCTCTTCGGTCTTTGCCAAGGCCAAGCATGACATGTTCGGCAAGCTTCTGCTCAGCGAGGTCTGGATTAGGGATCTGCCCGACTCGACAGGTCGTGCGCCCCTTCTGACTGTCCCATCATGAAGGCCTGCTCCTCACCATCTTTTCCGAAACGATCACACGCACACACAGGGGACCGCAAGCACATGTGGCAGCTGTGTGCTCCTGATGTGACGTTCATCTTTGTCTCGCGGTCACAAGCCGAGAAAACAGTACGACTCTCTTCTATCTTTCTTTATTTGTTTTAGCCCAGCGTTAGGGGTATATGCGTGTGTTGACGACGTGTTGGTGTTGTCATTCCTTTCAGGAGTGGCTGCAGGCCATAGCATCTGCCATTGAGCAACTCATGCTCGTGCCTGGCCATAAAGGCACCTCCCTCCATCTTTGCTTCTCTGCTGACAGAGAGGGAGTCTCTTATTCCTTCCTTCCCCTCCCCCCCACCTTCTCGCACGTGCAGAACACCGACACGCGGTGCTGGCGGAGATCACCTTGCGTGGAACGCAGCACGGTTCCGTCCGCGTCAACCGACGCCGAACGGTTACGCGGGCGGTCTCGTTTGCCGTGCTCAACAAGGACAAGATCGCAGCGGAGAAGGAGCAGGAAGACGCGAAGGAGGAGGAGGCGGAGGAGAACATATCGGCCCACATGCCAGAGGGGGTGCTCTATCTGGCGCGTAACTTCGTGCGTGGCGGGCTGGCATGGCGCGGCGAGCCCGTGGACGCCTCGTGCAAGTTCGACTCCGGCAAGAAGACCGTGGCCAACCGCAAAGAGAAGGAGAGCTCGCTGGGCCGGGGTGTGAGTGGCCTCGAGGCGCTGTTCATGGTGGATGGCGCGGCCAAGTCGAGCCTGAGGGACAGCGACGGCGGGTCGATGCGCGACCACCAGGGTTCGGCCGCGGCTGGAGGAGGAGGAAGTGGTGGGCGGAAGGGCTCGGGCGACAGGGACGGAGGCGAGGGCGGCGGCGATGGTTCGAGGCGAAAGGGCGCACAGCCGTCCAGTGGCAAGCAGAGCAACTCCCAGCGATCCGGTCTCTTCGGCAGGCGGTCTACGACCAGTCACGCCTCCCTCTCGCAGCGCGACTTGAGCTCAAGCGTCACGGCACGATCAACGACGACGATCAAGTCGTTGGCCGTCGCCGTACCGAGTCCGTCCAGCGCCGATTCGCACAGCAGCGGCAGCGGCGCCACCACTGCGAGGGCCACCTCCAAGCGGCGCTCTCTTCGACGTAATCTGAGCTCGCTCGGCATCACGGAGCTGTTGCAGCATCAGAGCTCCTCCAACTCCAACGATCGGCGATTGTCCACTTCACCAGAGTACGTCAAGCTCATGCGCTTTGTCCGGCTAATCATAATAATAGCCGAGGCGCAATAATTACAGTGCACTGACCTTCGTGCCACACGCAGTTCTGTGCGAGGAAGGGTGATACAAAAGGGGTTCCTGTACCACCGAGACCAAACCGCAGAGGGCGGATGGAATCGTCGCTGGTGTGTCCTCACGTTCGAGCGACTGGCCATTTATGCCGGGCAACAGGTTCGCCAGCCCGAACCTATCCGTATCTATTCGTTCTGTCACTTGCACACTCGCAAAGAGTTTACTCACAGCTCATTCCAACACACACACACACACACACACACACACAGAGCTCGGAGGAATTGACTGCTGTCAGTCTGAAGAACGCGACCATCGATCTGTGCGAGAGCGCGCGACCAAGGTTCTAAGCCCTAAGATGCGAGACTTTTATTCACTTGGCTTTAACCAGCATCTCTCTGTCCTTGTTTGTTCGGGTACTACCACGACTAGTGGCATGCATTCCTTCAAATTGTGCAACGGCGAAGAGATCATCCTCGCGACCGCGCTGGAGGCCGAGGCCATGGCCTGGGTGTCCCGCATTCAGGTACGCTTCGAGCTCCCCTTCCCCCCCCCACCAACCACCAACCAACGACTGTCCTCACGCCCCTTTTTGGCGTATGCTCACGGTCTGCCACACGTGCAGGATCTGATCTCTGTGTGTGGCTGATGATGTCTTCTCCATGCCCTGTCCCGTGTAATCTAACCCAACTCAAACAAAACTCTTTTGTGCAACTCTTGAACGCAGTCTTTATTGGATCAATGGGTGAGCACCTTCCCGTAGTCGCCGTCGGCGATGAAGATGGTGCTGCAGGTGTAGCTGGCCGCATGGATGGCCTTAGTGAGTTGGGATCCATCTGGGGCATGATGTGGATGAGGTTCTTGAAGCCGGCGGCCTGGGCAAGCTGGGTCACCTTGTTGATGTGTGTAAGCGGTGGGGACGTTGCAGAAGAAGGTCTGCGCCTTGGGGTTGCCTGATTGATGCAGAGTTGTGGTTCATAACCTTGTGGATGAGGTAGTTGGCATTGTTCCATAAGTCGCGGACAAACCATTGAGGGTTCGCCCCCCCCCTCCAGCCCAACGCAGCATGTGCACTGCAAAAGTACCCTGCTGCAGGGCGCGAGGTACAAACACGCGTTCCGCACCACGAAGCGAGCACCTCCCTCCACCTCCCCGGGGTTTTGATTTTTAATGATTCCCCGGCATAACCTCGAACATGAGTGTATGATCACTCCGACCATCGTCGGCTCTTCAGAACACATAGCGCCCAACACACCAGCCCCGCTTTCCGTCTTCGTAGCTCTGGCAGTCCCACTCCTCGATCTCGCCTGCGGCCTTCAGCCCGTCCCACGCCGTCCGCGGCGCGCGGCAGTGGGGGAACGGGCACTGCAGGTCGTCCATCAGCAGAATGCTGTGCGGCCGGGCCAGCGCGCGCATGTTGGCCAAGTCCAACCGCGGTATGTCGCCCTCGTGCGCGCCGTCCACGTGCAGCACGTCGCACACGAACCCTGGGTGGCGCTGGACAAAGCCGGGCACCGCCTGGACCGAGTCGCCGAGCTTGATGTCGAACCGGCCTGGAAACTGGGCCTTGATGTGGTTGGCGGCGGTGCCGACGTAGCCGTGCATCCCGATGTCGAAGGACTGGAGGCGCAGGTCAGGCTGGCTGGTGAGCCACACGGCGGCCGAGTGGCCCGCGTTGAACCCGATTTCGCACACGGTGCGCACAAAGGGCAGGCGCCCGACGGCGGTGTAGTAGTGGGCCTGCTCGGTGAACATGTGGCCTTCGCCCACGCCCCCGACCAGTGCATTGAGCTTGGCCCACTCGGCTGGCCACGCCGGTACGGCGTGG